TGATTAGCCTTAAACATGATTTGTGCCGTTTGGAATTCTACCAGGTCTGTGAATTTTAACAATTTTGACTGCAGGAATAATGTGTTAGTGTGATCAAGGTATTTGACATTGTGAATGATTCGTATGGCTTTTCTTTGGAGAAAAATGCGGTGATATTTAAAATGTTGCGATTCAGACATTTGGAAGTGTGATAACTAAGTTGGTTAAGATTTCATCATCATCATTTACATTCCTACCAAAATATAGCCAATACCTTTCTGGGGCTTTGGGCATGCATTTGTAAGCATCATCATGCATTGTTGTAGTTAAATATAATAAGTCTACTTAAAAAATATTAACCAATCTTGAGCCATCTATTGCTTAAGTCCCGGGACACTGAAGGCTTCTGGCTCTCAATCTCAACAGAATGTCTTTGAAACACTTCCGGCATTCAGAAAGACTTAATTTACAGCCCTCAAAACATAGATGCGAAACTCACCTTCTTATTCAACCTCATATGAGAAATGCGTGTTAAAGTTGGCAGGTTCCCTCTCTGGGCTGTTTGCCAGAGAAGGAGTGTGACTTCAGTCAATGTGAGGATTTAAATCACAGGAAATGAACAGATGAAATGACCGTGGTAAAGTCAAATAAAGTTGAGACTGCAGTGGGAATCTTTTGAAAAATTGTAGTTCAGGAGAAGACTGAGACTAAAAGTGAACTTCATCCTGCAACTTTTTAATTCATGGCTTGAAAGTAATGTAAAGCAAATATAATGTTCTGGTGTAAAGTTCAGATAAAAAGTGATTGAAAATGTTTTTAATAAGTGCTTAACTCCAAGGTCCTGTTTCCACGTACAGCCCGATAGAATATGTAAATATCTCAATAATATCATTTATTTAGGAATGATACAAATTGTTGGTGCAGTAAAGAAAGGAAAAACTGTTATTTTCTAAAAGTATCTAAATGAAAAGAACCAAAACCCAGGTGCAGAAAACAGCTGGGGAAAGTTGCTGTCTCACTTCTATTCATAGTCTTTATGTACAGTATATGTATGAAGAAGATCTACTTTGTTGGCATGATTGTGTTCTATTGTAACCAGGTGTGTTTTGTTTTTTTGGGATCAGCATATTAAGCATATCCCTCAATACATTTTTGTCTTTTCTACCTTTACAGAACCTGCCTGTTTATACTTTTTTTCCAATGTCATCAAATACATGTATTATTTCTGTAACTTTCAACAAACAACAAAGTGCCCTCTGCCAAGGCTGCTTTTAACTGAGTGGCTGAGTCCAGGAGCCTGCCTTACAAAGCAACATACACGGGTGGTAAACGATCGATGCACGACTGAACTCTTAACTTTTCCATCTCTACATGGTGACTCACTGCTACCTGGGAACCATGGTAACACCTGACGCACAGTTTAACCAATTGTAGCAGTTAAAGTTTAGTCTACAAAGTCCTTCCGCCTTATCAGTCAGATCTCTCCACCTAACAGTGACATTGATGATCAGATGGCTTCCTCTATTATCCTCTTTTACCTTAAAGGGGACCTATCATGCAAAATGCACCTTTGTACATCTTTTATACATGAATATGTGTCCCGGGTGTTCCAGGGAACTCACCAAGTGTCAGAAAACACAACCCTCTCTATTTTCCTCCTTAGCCAAATCTCTAAAAAAGGGGCTGCAACGGATCTGAAAAAAACGGATCCAGATTTCAACACTTTTCTACGTCACAAAGAGGTGCTCCGCTTATTGGTCAACTCTCCACCTATCAGGGGAATGAGCCACGGCCACGTGCATTGCCAAACCTCTCATTCGCATATACTGTAGGACGGATTTCCGTCCATTTGGCTATTCAAATGTTAACGAAACGGACAGACTTCCGTGCACATCAGCGGCTGTCGGATTAAAACAGTGTAATGCACTTTTAACACTCACGTACCCAGGATTCCTACTCCTTTCCTGGGTTACAAAGTTGAGGTG